CAGCAGATGTTCTTTTTTGGAAGCATCTGTTGCAGCTTCCAGTTCAGCAGCTTCCTGTCTCTCAGCTTCTGCGAGCAGCGCCTGTTGCTCTCACAGTCTCTCTTGTATCTCCTTCTTGCGCCGCTGCGCAGGGGTCAGGGGAGGGGCAGGAGGAGTTGAGGCTGAAGGCTGTTCTTCAACCTTAATACTACTTCCACGTTCCCTGCACCTGCGTCGGAGGCGGCAAACATTTTCCCTCACAAAACAACACAATAAACAAATGAAACGGCAGAGGGTGCAGCGATTTACAGATCCCATAGACACTCAAATTTCGCTGCACTGTCAGTTCACAAAGTAATGTGGGTTAGTGGGCACAAGCAGCTAGGGTTGGAACCGGACCACTGGGGTCAGTAATCAGGTTGACAGGGTGTCCAGTAAAACCATTCACTAACGATTTCCTATACCTGACACTGAACCTTCACTGAAATTGCAGCATGCAGTTTCACAACATTCCAGGGGTCACTAGTATTCCAGAGCCCATCAGAAAGCAGAATAGATTAGTAGTATTGATGGAACAGGCAAGAATTGACTGAAACACAATCACAGGTAGTAGCGATTTAGTAGACTACTCCCTGACAACCCCAGACTCAAATTTCGCCAGTGTTGACATCAACAGAAATTACCCCAGATATGGCGAATTTCAGGAAGGCACTGAAATGACCCAAATAGTGTTTCTGGACTAGCGCTTTAGCAGGGTTGCTAAAAATAGAATTGCGATTCACCCTAGACTGACAGACTTGAATTCTGACGGTCAGATTTTGAGTTATGACTGACCCTAGGTAGCCTAGACTATAATTAGACTCAGCGCAAAACTCAAATCCACAGTATCACTACCTTTTCAGTACAGAATTCACAGAATGAACATACAGGGTGCAGCGCAATACTGTAAAGCAGTCTTAGAACAATTTGGAGTCAGAACAGGTCAGTAGATGAAGAGATATGAGCCAGGGTAGGGAGGAAGAAGATGGATATGGCTGTCCTGCAGTCTGACAATTTGACGATTGTTGCAGTCCTGTCAGACAGACCATCAATCCTATCTTTACTAATTCTATACTAGTCGCTACTCAGGGACTCATGTGGAACGAACTCACTTGAAGTACAATCCTCAGTGGATGATGAAGCTTTGGCTATGGCTGCCAAACCCTGGTCTCGCCAGTACTTGCAGACAGTCTTCCAGAGCTTCCCATGTACAGAAGCTTGTTGATCATGTCCAGTATGATGAGGCGATTCACCCCTAACTCTCAGATACACTGAATCTGCCCAGTGGGGAGAGAAAACTCTCGTGAAGGTATCTCGCCACTGCAGGGTATGAGCCGCTGGTGCTAAATTTAGCCCTGAATAGGGTTAATTTAGCAGGAGGGGATCCTGCGATCTATCCTCCCTCAACGCTATGCTGCGAATGAAGCCGCCACCCAGTAATCACTGGCTTAGGGTAAATTCCGCCACCCTAGACCCAGTCATCAACTGAGGTCAGGAGGGTGGATGGCGAAATAACCCTATTCTCGCCACTTCCTGTTAGGCACTCAGACAGGCTCAGGGTGCCTGATCAATCGCAAACTGATGTTTCTGCAATCACCGCTTGTATGCCTTCTTCCCTGCTGGACAATCACAGGAGATGAAGAACCACCCTGGACCTTCTTGCCAGTTAGGGCCAGATGAAGAAGGTGCCCCTGTTGCGCTCAACCCTCTGAGCTCCAATTCCAGACTTCGCTCTGATACCAACTGTTATGAACTTGGTTGTCTGACAATTTGCTTGCCACTCACACTCAGAAGTACTCACACACGCCCATACATGCATGAGACAAAGGGGAGAAGGAGACAGGGTCCAACTGCACACAGATCAGAGATAAACAGCGGAATAGCAAATATGCACAGAAGGGGAGAACACACTCAGTGTTTCTCTCTCCCTGACACACTCCCAACAACCAATCACAATTGACACTGCGAAGATCACAATTGGAAAGTAACCCAGATGATGAGCCAACTCAACACAGTTACTCTCAATTATCGTAACAGAGTTCAACCCAGTATCTCGCCACTCAAGAACCACACACTCCACTCACTACCACACTCTCAGAGTCTAGCGCTGCACAGAAATAGCCTCCCAGAGGCCAGCGCCATACACCCAGATGCAGATCATGAACAGCGAAGTAGTCTCCAGTGCCGATGAGTCACTCTGACGATGAAGAAGCAGCTATGGCTGCCTGGCTGCTACCGCAGCACTAGTACCCACATGTACTCAGTGAAGACCAGACCTGCCAGCGCAGATATCCCCCGGGGATAGATGCGCTGAGTACAGCCCCAGCTATGGCTGTCTCAGAAGGCTGGCTATGGCTGCTCCACTGCGCTGATGTCTTAGGTGCCGCTGTAGGCATTCAGCGCTGGAAAACCTCGTTGGCCACGAAACGCTGCCTGCGAAAATGAAAAGCCAAAAGTCCCTAACTATCGGTCCTACCCTACCTATAGTTTTCGGCCTAACCTACTGGACCGAAACTACTACCGGTACCGTTGCCCTAAGGGCCTACCCGGCCTCTACAGCAGTCCTACAGCACTTAGGGCGCAGTGCCCCTTAGGGCCTGCAAACACTCAAACTCTACCGCTGTTAATTCTATTCCATTTTTAGAACAGTGGGCAACCCTCAGTGCGACCACAAAAAAAACACAGCAACAAACATGCCGCAAATTCAGCAGGCAAAACCACACTGTAGTGTACAACCCCGCAGACAGATACCGCAGCAAGCAGCAAGTCATTACACCGCTGCAACCCTCAAAGTCACGGCCACAGGTAAGTACCGGCCTTGCGGGGCCTTTCAACCAACAAGTACCCTTGCGGGTCACACACACACTCAGCCGACAAGCACTCAGACAGGCATGCAAACCAGCAGGCACGCACACACACACAGACTTGGAAATCACAGCAGAATGCGGGAATCACAGCAAGGCATTCATTCCAGCGGCAAATCCCATAAATCAGCAGTGTTCTCAGTCTGTGTTTTTGGCGGGTCATTACAGTGTTGTTGTGATGCCCCCTTTGAGTATACGTGTGTACTTCGTCTTCTTCAACAATGATTGCTGTGTCAATGATTGTCTTCAGGACTGACTTCTTTAATTGATATCAACCAACCATGGCTGGGTGGCATGGGTCGATGTTGGTGTTTTTTTTTTCTTTTTTTTTTTTTTGATGTTGGTATCCCTGGGTCTGACTCCTTGGCTTGTTTTCCTTTTGCAGAAAAAGATGACAGGATTTGCTGTTACCCAGACAAAGGACCTTTTCCCAACAGATCGTACACGGGGGAACGAGCTGAGCGGGGATCTGCATGGGACCAGGGGCCATCAGGTTGAGTGTCGCATTTGCTCACAGACGCTCGGCATGTGTCCCGGTACGCATCACCCACTTTGTTACCCATGATGACTTCCAATATGTTCTCAATGTGTCAATTTGTAGAACAGGAAAGAGAGTTCTCTGAAGTTACGAAGAGAGTTCTCTGATGTTACGAAGAGAGTTCTCTGATGTTATTGAAGAGAGTTCTCTGATGTCAAGAAGCAGACAAGAGTGAGTTTGTTTGTTTTTGAGGAAGGGCGCATCTTTTTTTTCTTTTTTCTTTTTTTCTTTTTTTCTCTTTTGAACGAATCTTTCTTTTTCAAAAGGAGTCCATATATTTCTGTGATGAGGAGGCTAGACTGTGTAAGCATCAGGACGGAGAACAAGAAGGTACACCCATACACGCACTCTATCACACACGTGCACACAATAATGCCCTACAAAGAAAAGCACTGATCGATTACCAAACTTGCAATCACACTCTCGCGGCCAATACCCCGACGTGTTTCGTCCACCCCGCATGTGGACTCTTCAGGGGGAAGAATTCTTAGTGAACTGAAAACCTCAAGCATCGACCCATGGAGACTATTCCTAAGCCCCACATCCTTTTATAGCCCTTTTATAGCTATCCTGCTCCAGCACGCCTCACCAGATTACAAGCACCCAGCCAGTGCCAAGCACCCCAGCCACCCACCCTCTTCACCTGTACTGCCCATTCCCTCAGCCGTCACCTATGCTCAAGTGCCCTTCGAGGCCGTGATAACTGAATGCATCAGACCGAAGCACAGCGCCACGTCGCTTTAGCAGGGATCGTCTGTACGCCTTCGCACTTCGAAATTGATGGCGTCGTGAAGCAGCTGCAGCACCGTGAAGGTGCAGCACCGTGCGCTTGTGAAGAAGAGCGGGGAGAACAAAACACTACAGAGCAGCCCAGTGCCAAGTACCCCAGCCACCCACCCCTCTTCACCCCTACTGCCCATTCGCTCGACCATCGGCTATGCTCAGCACCCTTAAGGGCCGTGATAACCGAACGCGTCAGACCGAAGCACAGCGCAATGGCACTGTAGCGCGCATCGTCTGTACGCCGTCGTACTTCGAAATCGATGGCCGCGTGAAGCAGCCGCAGCGCACTCCACACGGACAAAAAATTTGAAGGCGTTCCCAAATATTATAGGAGCAGCACCGTGCGCCGGTGAAGAAAAGCCCGGAGAACGAAACACTTTGAGCGCCTCACTCGGGAGTAGGCGGTGGAGTACCTCCCCCATCTGCCTGCCATCACCTTCCTACCCCGGCGGCATCTCCGTCTTTTTCTCTGATGTTATGAAGAGAGTTCTCTGATGCTGTGCAGCAGGCAAGAGTTTCTGTTGTTACGAAGCAGGCATGAATGAGTGAAGCAGGAAAGAGACCACTTGGAACCATCAATTCCTTGGGAGCCCCTTTTTGTGGAGGCGGAAAAGAAGGGATCTCCAAGCTTTGCCAAAATGCCAGCACGAGGATTCCTCCCCCCCCACCCTTTGTGGCTGGCGCCGCCAGCCATTTTGGTCCAGTAGCTCTGTTCACCCGGAAATCGTGGAGTGATTGGTTTCAGAACGCCAAACGAAATGGGCACTGCCAGCCGCTCTGGCTTTGGGGAAAGGAGGGTGCGGATGCTCCGGGGCGAGGTCCCAGTAGCAAAGAGAGTTGAATTGAATGCCCGAATCTGGACGTGTTTGTGCAAAGGTGCAGAAGATCAGGATTGAACTGCTTTTCTGCATCTCTGCATCTCTGCTGAGAAGAGGGGTGGGGCGTGTAGGCTTAAGTGTAAGCGGGGTCTTAAACCACCAGTACACGCCCCCAGCCTTGTCAGGCAGAGTGCAATCGGGGCTAGGGGAAGTGAACCTGGACAGAGCCGGGGGGTCATGGGAACCGGACGGACTGCATGGGCGGATTTCATGCTATACGGCGGGAAAGCCACTACCGGCGAACGCGGTGGAGGGCAGTTCTCAGGCAGAGTGCAATTGGGAGGGAAGTGAACCTGGACAGAGCTGGGGTGTATGGGAGTAAATTTTCCGCTAGAACATGGACCGGTACACTTTCGCGTTTGGCAGAGGGGGGCGGATGAGGCGCTTTGTTTTTCGTTGGTACTGTTTTGTGAGTACTTTGTGGAAGGTGATTGTAACAATTGATGCCTTTTATGTTGATGCCATTATTACTGATATGACGCCTTTCTTTGGCATATTCTCTTTTTTCCTTGTTTTATTTTGTTGGGGGGGAGGGGGGAAAACTACGTGGGAGTCACAAAAATGAGTTATAATTGCAATATGGGCCAAGATACAATTTCGAATTGCAGTTTGGGCAATGTATACAACCCAGTTTTCTGGCCATGTAGGGTGCCTGAAGTGCAATTGCAAACTGTATCTTGCCCCAGTATGATAGTGCAATTATAACTCGTTTTTGTGACTCTACTGAAGTTACCCCCTTTTTTTTTTTTTTTTTCGCTTTGTCGCTGTTCGCGGGTTTTTGACTGCTGCTCTGTCTTTTCTTGTGTTGTTTCAATTATTCTCAGGGCATTTTGGTTACTTGGAGCTGGCAGTGCCATTGTACCATCCCCACTTCATCAAACACGTGGCATGGGTACTTAACAAGATTTGTTTCAGTTGCTCGTCACTGCGGAAGGATGCAAAAGAATGCGCACCGAAAAAGGTATATTAGTAATATTGCTAGATTCCCCTCAATTTCTTACCGAAAAAGGTATTTTAGCAATATTACTATATTCCCCACAATTTCTTCTGGAAGGGAAGTCTTTCGTGGTTTGATCTCTTTTTTTCTCTTTTTTCTTTTTGAAATTGGAATTTAAATTTTATGTTTTTTTCTTTTTTTAAGTTTTGATCTTTTCCTGTTATTCGGCTTTTTTTTTTTTTTTCCCCAGTCCGTTTCTTCTTTGTGCGAGGATTTAGTCCCTCGGCAGTGTCTGAAAGTGTCGTGCCTGCAAATATGTGCCAATGCCTGTTTATAAGGCTATGAGACCAGGTTGAGGGGCCCAAGCAGAGCCTGTTGTAACCCCCATGTGGGCATGGATCTTCGATGAGGCCTTGTTACGAGTTGGCTCCTCGGCATGCCCCTGTAGGGCCCTTTCAGCAAGCATGAGCCCGCCCTAAGTGAAGGCGGGCCCCTGAATTTCAATATGGCCTGAGTTCGTCAATTTTGGCAAAGTTTGGTGGGCGACAGACAG